AACGAAAAATTAAAAAAAAAAAAAAAATAGAATGTCCCTTCCCGTCTTTCGTAATTATCCCTAATTACAATTTTCTTAGATACAACCTGTTTAACATAATTTTCCTTTGTCAACATTTTGGTCGAGAATGTGTTTAAAAAACCCCATCTTTACTTGTACAATTTCAGCTTTTCTTTTGTGATTTTTCCATTTTTATCTAGCAACATCCCAGTATCACCTGTATATTAAGTAGGTATCTCCCATTTGAAACGAGATTCCAGAGCTTGTGTTTTGTATCATGAAATTTTTGATAGAAGATTACTGCTTGCTAGGAAGATATTGAACAAGGGCTCCTCCTGGTTATGTTGAACTCATCCCTTCGAAATTCTTACAGACACCGTCATGATTTGGTTGACATTTGTGGAATACATGTGTCAAAGATGACAACAAATATTTTCTTTTCTTAGATTTTGACATCAGCGAATTTATTACTTACCATGAGCAACAAGACGGGTGCCACTTAGGAAACAGGATTTACCAAACCTTCCAAAGCACATGATCATTTTGCACCCATGAGTTATTAATTTGGTGATACTTTTAATTAAAATATTCCTGGTCATAGCTTCCTGTATGAACAAATTACCTTCGGCAGTTTTTGAAGCTTACAATTAAATTTCATTACATATAGCAGTTTGGGATAACAAATGTTTGGTTGTATTGTTTCTTTTAAAAAATTCAAGTAAACAGAAATCGAGAGCTTTAAATTTTAATAAAACTTCATGGTTTTATGTACTTCCAGGTATAGTTGTTATAAAGTGGAAAAAAGAAAGGTAAGATCTAGGCTCTCCCCAAAAAATAACAAAATAAAAAACGAAGGGCATTCGAAAACAAACAGCAACTTTTATCAACTTAGTTAATGATGTATTTTAATCTTCTCTTCGAAAAGCGAAATATATTTATTTGTTATTATCATAATTTGCCTATCATCAGTGAGATCACCATACTACCTCTTAAGTCAACATTGGAGAACTTCTGAAACCAAGAACGTAGTATACCTCATACTTTGTTCTTAATTTGTTTTCCCTATAAAGAAAACAAATTCGTGTGAAAAGGGCCCTTTGTTTTAGAAATGCTAAATGTGAAGCTGTTTTATGCATATCAAGTAAACAGTAAAAAGCCATTTATAAATAAAATATTCGCTTGAATAATACATCGAAAATTCACGTGAAATTTGCATAAAATTAGGAAGGGAAAACACGTATTAACAAATGCGACGTTTAAGGTTATCTTCAATGGAGCAATATTTTTCCTGTTTATGATAAAATCCTACGATAAATAATTTTGAACAGTATATATCTATGAGAGTAAAAATATTCCTTATATGTTTGCATGTAATCTATCACGTCATAATATGTAAAGTATATCCAAATAGCCCAAAGACATTTTCGTCCAGAAAATTGCCTCTTTAAGAATGATGATAAACATACAATGGTTTTGTTGTTGGGGAGGGATTAACGCCACGTTCAGCGATGTTTGCTATATCATGGCGGCAAATTTTTATAGATTGAGGAAGCTGAAGTGTGGAGAAAACCACCGACTTTCGGAAGGAAAACAGGTTATCCCTTTGGATTTGACCAACCCCTCGTCAAGTACGAGGTTCCAATTAACAATCTAAGAGTTGATAGGCTATTGATTACTGCAGATGAACTACCTAACCCACTTGGCAATCAATATATTTAAAATACTCACATAATGTTTGTAATCTTTCCCTTGTCGGCTGTCAATATATTTGAAAAAGCTTCTATGGATTCTATAACTAAGACCAGACTGATCAATGCTGTCAAGATGTAATTCCAGAAGATTTTTCTGATGCTCATTTAGGGCATCCAATGAAAACTGTTAATAAAGAATAAAATTATTTGGTGTGAATGGTAATTTTGATTGGTTGATTGACATCAAGCAATTGTTTAAATAAGACACTTTGTTACCCACCTGAAATATCTTTAGATTGGTTTTCTCATATATCTTTTCTGCCCCAAACTAACATAGTATCTTTCAAAAGATTTAAAATTGAATAATAAATTTTTAATGATTTAGATTTTAGCAATATTTGGATGTGTGTTGAGTTGTCTACAACACTAAATTTTTAGCACTTAACTCATCTATTTTTCAGGAGATCACTTTATTGTAACATCTTCACACAGACAAAACATTGTGTTTACTGCGCCAAACTGAGTTTACCTTTTAGCAATCTAGGTATAAATCACCATATAGTATGACTGGTTAAGTTTTATTCATCATATTACAAACAAAACACAAAATTAACAATAAACTTCCTATTGAAAACAACTATCGACACAAATACAGTTAGTTTACATCATTTCTAATATTCCTTGAGTTATACAAATGTTGGATTTGTTTCTCACAGACAATTTGCCATTTGTTTACCCTTCTATATATTCACTTTTAGTAACTGCTTTGCTAGGTTTAAGAAAAGCAGAATTCCTATTGGTGTGTCCCTGAAAAAGTTATTTGCATAATAAAATATGAATTAAAGTATATAACATTTGACTAATTAAAGACCTAGCATGTGTGGATCTTCTGGATCAATGTACATCAGTTTAAAAAGGCTCTCAATAGACTAATAGTAGATCTGATTACTCTGATAGCAATTAGAAAGACATTTGAAGATATTGTCTGCCATGTTGACAAGTATTCTATGATGACTAGAAGATTTATTTGTGAATATATCATACGGTGTAGCATTCTACTGTTTTCATTTGATATGACGATCACAAGTTTCATAAGTTATTTTACGTATCTGAAGCCTTGTTTCTTTTTACTTATATTGACGCTATGTTTCTATTTATATGTTTATTGGTGGTCAATATAAGAAATCTGTTGCTAAATTTAGATTTATGACGTCATAACGTCACACATAACAACCATGGAGGAAGCGCCGCAGCAGACGAAAAAATATTTGCGAGTTTATCAGAAGAAGATATCAAGAAATTATGTTAAATGCAGCCGCTGAGAATACAAGAAAGCTAACGCAACAAGCTATAAAGTTGTTCAAAGAATATTGATATTTTCAGTAACATGTTAAATTATTTGCAAAATACAATTTAAACTTTGAACATTGATTTTGAGTTCAATGTAATCTTAATTTGGCTATGAAAAATGCTTGTAAATATTAATAAACTGTTATCACAGAGATATGTCTCGCCTTTTTGTAATTTTGATAATGCAAATGTTGAAATTAAAATAGCAATACTTTAACATGTAAGTTATGCAAATATTCAAAGTCGATGAACCATGACTGAAGGTACAAGGCTGAACAATCTCCATGGAATGAGATGTGCCAATGCAAATACACCTGCATACCTAATACCATTGACTTATTATAAGTCGTTCCCTTCAAACAAACCTAAACACAAACATTAACTTGTAAACTATTTAAAAGTTTCAAAGTCAATGAACCATGATCAGGGGTGGGGCTATATAATCTCCATGGAAACGATACTTGCAAATGCCAATAAATTTGCATACCAAATATCATTGACTTAACATAAGCAGTTCGTCTTAAACTGATCTAATCACAAACTAATACATGCAAACTAAGCAAAAGTTTCAAAGTAAATATACCATGACCGAGGGGTGGGGCCAAATATTCTCCATGGAAATGAGATGTGCTAATGATTATACAACTGAACACCAATTAACATTAACCTATCACTAATGGTTCCTCTTGAACTGACCTAATCACAAACTAATACATGTTAACTAAGCAAAATTTTCTATAGACCATGACTAAGGGGGCGGAGCCAAATAATCTCCATGAAAATGAGATATGCCAATGCTTATACAACTGCATACCAAATATCATTGACCTACCACTAGTGGTTCCCCATAAATTGACCTAATCACAAACTAATTCATGTAAACTATGAAAAGTTTCAAAGTCAATAGACCTTGACTGAGGGGGCGGGGCCAAATAATCTCTATAGTAATGAGATATGCTAATGCTATGACAAATGCATACCAAATATCATTGACCTACCACTAGTGGTTCACCATGAACTAGACCTAATCACAAACTAATACATTGTTGACGCCGCCGTCGCCGCCGCCGCCGACGCCGGAAACATCATACCTATGTCTCACTTTTTGACTCCGTCAAGGCGAGACAAAAATATATTCTGCTGATTTCTATTCATATCAATTTTCCAACAAAAAAATGAGTTAACATACTTGTGGGTATCTAGGAAATCCCATAAACAATTGTCATATTCTTTGACTCCAGTATGTCTCTGCATTGTCCTATCCGCATTAAGTGTTACCCTTGTCCATCTGTACGTATGTCCCAAAGTTGATTTCCATTCTTTATCTTTAGTTTGCCTCAACCAAATGTTATACAATTATACACAATGCTTATTACCACAAAACACAGATCAAGTTCGAAATTGGGTGCATCACTATAATCATTTTTGAGTTATGCCCCTTTACAAATAAAAAAATTGCTGAATTTTTCGTTTCCATTCTCTTAAACTGAAATTTGCTACATTCCATTGTTATGAAACTTATACGCAATGCTTATTTCCACAAAAAGATCAAATTTCGAAAATTTGGTGGCATCACTATAACTGTTCCAGAGTTATGCCCCTTTACAAATGAATACATTGCTGAATTGTTAGTTTCTGTTCTCTAACTTTAGTTTGCCTAGACCGAATGTTTTGAAACTTATTTATAATGCTTATCACCACGTAATATAGATCAAGTTCGAAATAGGGTGGCTTCACTTATACCGTATTTAGTTATTTCGCTTTATAAACATAACAATTACTGAATTTTTCGTTTCTATTCTCTAACTTTAGTTAGCCTCTACCAAATGTTATGAATCTTTATTTCCAAATTAATCAAATCTTAATATTTGTTAATTGAAAAACTTTTTATATCTATTTATGTTCATAATTATTGATATTTTTTTGGCTATCTGTTTAAAATTTATATTGTAGAGTAAACTGTTAACCCTGAGAAGAAAATATGCTCCTGATGCTAATGCACAGGAAGTGCTCCGACATGGGCTGAGGTTTGCAGCAAGAAAGATGGTGGACTTTAGGTCCCAGACCAAGAATAAGGTAAAACAAACTTTTTACAGTACTGACAGATTTGTAATATTATTAATAATATATTCTGCAAGTCATAAAAAAGGAGTAGGGGCAATAAGGCCCTTATTTTGCCCAAATATTACTGTCATATTTAAAAGTTATCTTACATACATATTCTCAATATTTGTACTTTTGTACAAACAAGCTAGACTAATGTACAAGGTGTCCAGAAAATAAAATCAAATAACACAATGAACGAGTTACAACGGCAACAAAATATGCATATTTTGTTAAATTTTGTAATTTTCCTTCTTTTTCATCAAATTTAAGATTAGAAAAGTATGTGCTCACCCAAGAAACAACTCTTTATTTTGCGAGATTCAAATTAAGAAAATAGTAATAACAAAGCTTCTTTAAATTATTTTGTTGTTTCTTTGCTGTGCACGATGTTTCCTCAATGGATATAATGACCGAAAATTGCATATTTCTGCATTTTTCACTGTGTTTGTGAAAACCATACATTTTATGATGTTGTTGTGATGTCATTAGATCAAAATCTTTATGTTTTTCATTTATAAGTTCATGACTCTATATGCATTTCCAAACATCATGTGCCAATTTGATATAGTTGTCAAACATTTTATTTTCTTAGACCTTTATAAATGCCCTTACTCCTTTAAGAAATCTGTTTATTTTTTCACTGGTATGATTGAAGCAATTTTGAATTTGCATTTATACTTGGATGTTTTTGTGTGGTTCTTGTGAGATATATATGTTAATTAGTAAATTCTAATTATGAATAAAACTGTTTAAGAAAGAAATAATACATTAAAGTTTAAACATATCAATATTTTTTGGAAAAGAGCGTCATGATATGGCAATATTTACAAACAAATTTAACATCTTAGCTGTGGATTACAGTTTCAGTTTTAAACTGCCACTTTACTGTCTGAATCAAAGTATATATATTTATTAAAAAAAAAGGGAAATTGAAAAAATATAGTAAAAATCGGAAATGTATTAAAGGTTGAAAAGGGCTTCATTTCTGAAGAATGAATGCTTTGTCCAGTTCAATGTATCCATTTTTAGCTCACCGGGGCCAGAAGGGCAGCATGTGAGCTTATGCCATTACTTGGCTGCGTTGTACTGTGGTCATAAACTATTTAAAAAATCTTCTCCTCTAAAACTACCGGACCAAATACCTTCAAACTTTATCTAAATGTTCCTTAGGGTATCTAGTTTATAACTTGTATCCGAAGTTTTGATCCATTGACAAACATGGCCAGCATGGCTAAAAGTGGAACATAGGGTTCAAATGCAGTTTATGGCTTATATCTCAAAAACTAAAGCTTTAAGAGCAAATCTGACATGGGGTGAAATTGTTCAATTGGTCAAGATCTATCAGCCCTGAAGACGAATCGAACAACCCATGGTTGAGTTGCTGCCACTAAATTGGTAGTTTTAAGTAAATTTTGCAGTTTTTTGTTATTATCTTGAATATTAGTATAGATAGATATAAACTGTTAACAGCAATAATGTTCAGCACAGTAAGATCTACAAAAAAGTTAAAAGACCAAAATTGTCAATTGATCTCTTAAGGAGTTAATGCCCTTTAAAGACAATTTTACACAATTTGTTCATCAAGTTTGATAAAATTAAAAAATCTTCTCCTCTGAAACTATTGTGCTTAATACTTCTTAACTTTGAAAGAATGTTCAGTACGGAATCTAGTTTATAAATTGGATCCAAACTTTTGATTTGTCAACAAACATGACCGCCATGGCCAAAAATTGAACATGGGGTCAAATGCAGTTTTTGGCTTATATCTCAAAAACTAAAGCATTTAGAGCAAATCTGACATGTGGTAAATTGTTCAATTGGTCAAGATCTATCTGCCATGAAATTTGCAGATGCATCAGACAACCTTTTGTTGTGTTGCTGCCCCTAAATTGGTAATTTTAAGGAAAATTTGCAGTTTTTGGTTATTATGTTGAATATTATACTAGATACAGATAAACTGTAAACAGCAAAATTGTTCAGCAAAGTGGGATCTACAAATAAGTCAAAATTGTCAATTGACCCCATAAGGATTTATTGCCCTTTAAGGACAATTTCACGGATTTTTTTTATGTTTCTAACTTTAAAAAATCTTCTCAAATGAATCTAGTATAAATTTTGGTTTTGTATTTCCTTGTACGTCAAGAAACATAGCATGGTTGAGTTGCTGCCACTAAATTGGTAGTTTTAAGTAAATTTTGCAGTTTTATGTTATTATCTTGAATATTATTATAGATAGATATAAACTGTTAACAGCAATAATGTTCAGCAAAGTAAGATCTACAAAAAAGTTAAAAGACCAAAATTGTCAATTGATCTCTTAAGGAGTTAATGCCCTTTAAAGACAATTTTACACAATCTGTTCATCAAGTTTGCTAAAATTGAAAAATCTTCTCCTCTGAAACTATTGTGCTTAATACTTCTTAACTTTGAAAGAATGTTCAGTACGGAATCTAGTTTATAAATTGGATCCAAACTTTTGATTTGTCAACAAACATGACCGCCATGGCCAAAAATAGAACATGGGGTCAAATGCAGTTTTTGGCTTATATCTCAAAAACTAAAGCATTTAGAGCAAATCTGACATGTGGTAAATTGTTCAATTGGTCAAGATCTATCTGCCATGAAATTTGCAGATGCATCAGACAACCTTTTGTTGGGTTGCTGCTCCTAAATTGGTAATTTTAAGGAAAATTTGCAGTTTTTGGTTATTATGTTGATTATTATACTAGATAAAGATAAACTGTAAACAGCAAAATTGTTCAGCAAAGTGGGATCTACAAATAAGTCAAAATTGTCAATTGACCCCATAAGGATTTATTGCCCTTTAAGAACAATTTCACAGAATTTTTTTATGTTTTTCTAACTTTAAAAAATCTTCTCAAATGAATCTAGTATAAATTTTGGTTTTGTATTTCCTTGTACGTCAAGAAACATAGCCACTATGGGTAAAATGAAACATATGGGTAATAAAAATGCATTTATTTGCTTTTGAAGTATATACACGACAGATACAAAGAACATTTAAATGGCATTTTTAAGTCACTCATTAATATATATTGAAAAGCAAAAATAATCATTGATGAAAGATTGAAGCAAAACATAACAAGTGAGCGATTCAGGCTCTTGAGAGCCTCTTGTTTCATATCACTTTTATTTAATTACATTGTCTTTCTTAGATCCTAAGTCGCTCAGTCAAGAGTGAAGATGTGGGCACGTTAGATGTTGACAGCCTTGTTAAATATATTTACGGGAAATTTATGCAGGAGCAGTCTGAGGAGACTTCTAACTTAGCAGTTGCCCTGGTAAGATATGCACACGCATATTAGGAAATTTTCAATAATATATTTCATAGCAAAGCAGTGTAAATGTGTAATAATTATAGTCATTTTAGAAGAAAAGAGTTTAATGAATTATCTCCAATTTTGAATATAAAAAAAAGATGTGGTTTGATTTCTAATAAGACAAGAACACTTCACAAGAGACCAAATGAAATTAGCAAACAACTATACAGATGTTGCAGGTTTTGAAAGCCAGTACAGTTGGTTGCTGATGTTTCTTCATTTAAGTACTCTTATGGTTATTAAACAATGTGTCTATATGTATACAACTCTATGTATGTGTATCACTTAAACAAGAAGTTATATATACTGGTAACATTAGTGATAAAATCATTTTGCATGTTTTTATTTTAAATGGGGATTTTAATTTCAGTAATATAATATATTATGCATACTCAACCTGGATTTCTTGCATGAATAACAATAATGTTCTCACAATCTTATTGTAAGAAATTAACGTAAGGTGTACATGTTTGTGTGACAGGTATAGTCCAACATTCACCTCATTTTTGTGTTGAATTGGTCATTGTTAAGTTCTTGTGTTTTGTTCAGCAGTTCAACTATAACTGGTTAATGGAATGATTGTAAGGTGTAAGTTTTTAATGACACAGGGATAAATTGACCTGGCCTAAATTTCTTGGTTCATTGGTCAAAGTTTTTGTATTTTGGTCTGTATTTCAATGACCCTAAGCCAAGCTGTGGTGAACCTTATGGTATCTTAAATAATTAGAGGTTACATGTACATGTCTGTCCGGTTATGATTTCTGGCCTTGACCTCATTGTCATGGATATTTAAAATTGTTGAGTTTATGTGATACAAGAAGTAAAACCTTTATCTTTAAATCTCTCAACATAAAATCAATGGTCAGTAAATCAGGCAAGAAATTTCAGCATATACACTCTTTTATAAATCTGTACATTGAATATTAAATCATTTTTTTTAAATGTAAAATACTCATGTTTCAGTGATGAAATTGTGACACTCATTTTTCAGTGTTAAAACTGTAACACAAATAGTCAATTATATATTGCTTCAGTTGAAACAAAATAACCAAAACAGACATTCAAATTATAAGATTACAGAAGTGAAATAGTTAATAGGGAACCTGACCCTATGGGCCATTGCTAGCTTTTTTCAAATGGTTCAAATTGGGTCTGTATTTTGTTTACTTTTACATAAATCTTCTACTGGCCTAAATGAAACCAAATTTGGCCAAAATAAATCTTGATGTATCTTGCTTTTAAAATGTGTCTAATGATTCATTAGGCCAACCAGTATGACTACTTAGGCTAAAAAAAAAGACCATATGGGTAAAATCAAGTATTGATCGTTTATAATATCAGAAAACGTTTTACAGAAAATCTAACAATTTGTTAAAAACATTTCAGGCTGTCTGGATATACATACTTTCCAATTTGACCAAAATGGTCATTGATGTCTCCTGATAGGAGTTTATGCCCTTTGCCCTTGAATGGCGATATTTTTTCTAAATTGTCTTTGCCATGTATATTAATATATGCAAAAGCTAGAGAGAAACTTTATTTGGAGTTTAGTCTCCAATTATTTTCTATTCTCTTTTGTTCTGGAGTGACAATTGCTGAATATGTACAAGTTGATCAAGGTTGGCAGCACTGGCTAAGCGCTCTTAAATAGGGCTTCTAGTGTAATTCTTTTATAAGGATGAAGAAATATAAAGATCTTAAAGTAATTTAAGCCATGATCTTTTTGTTATTTGCATTTGGTAATTATTTCTGTATAAATGTGAATAGTCCAAAAAGTCTTAAGAAATGTGAAAAATTATTAGCATCATTATGTCTGTAAGTTAATATAAAATAGGCGTATTTAAAAGAACACTCTTGCATGTACTTGTATTGGTTTTAAATGTAAAGTATGCATAAATATTTTTCAGAGATCTTTTTGTCACGAAAAGAGACAACTCAGAACACAAATTGGAGAACCTCTGGAGGATTTTTGGAGGACCTTCAAGAGCTATCTCCAAGATATCTTGGACGATAGCTCTGAGGACAAATGGAGAAGGCTCAGTGAGAGTGAAGAGAAAAGAATCGAGAGATACAGAAAGTATGCTTTAATTATTGATAATTAAGGAGTTAACTGTATTGTATTTTAAGCTTGGCCTTCGTAAAATGTAGATTTTTCTGTTGCAAATTGAGTTAAAGTAGCGGAGCAACATTTTATATTAGTGTATTTGATGTCAATCTGTGAGCAGTCCTTTTTTGAAATAATTTATGAGCAATGTTCATTTTAACATGAATAGGCATTACATTTGACAATGTCTTTATATAGAGTGTTATGCTAGGAGAGTCCTTTTTTAGCTCACCTGGCTCCATGGGCCAAGTGAGCTACTCTTTATTGCACTTGGTGTTGGTTGTCGTTCATCATTGTCCATTATCTTATAAAAAAATCTTCTTATCTGAAACCATTGGGCCATATTGAACCAAAATTAGCTACAATCATTATTTCGGTAATTAGTTCACAAAATATTAAAGCTAGATATAAACTGACAGAGATTTTGTCCTGAATTCTATTTTTGTCTACAATGTTGGATAGTGTCCTTTTTTGAAATTGAACATCTATAAACCAAAGTCAACTGACTAAAAAAAGCACAAACAAAAGTATACGATTCTTATATGATTAGCATAATAGGGAATACTTTCATATGATTGGTCGAGAGGACTTCCAATAGTTAATCTTGAAGTTGTTTAATATAATGCCCAGGCCTATTTAATGACACAAATATACAATTTACGTGTGATAGAGGTTACGAATGTGAAAAAAATATATTCCTTACCTCCAATTTTAAAGAATTATAAGAATTAAACCCCCTTTTAAAGGAATTTATTGGTATATAAACTGGACCAAGTCACTCACAAACATATCATAAAAGTCCTATAATAAACCTATAATAAACCTCACATAATACAGCTTTTAACTCATTTTGTTTAGTGTCAAGATAACAAGAATCAGACAGGATGAAACACGTTCTTAACATTATTTATTGTGTAGGTAAATTTGAGACTAGACCAGACCAGACAAGATGATCAAGAACATATATTTAAAAACTTTTTAAAGGATTATTGTTCATTTTTATAGTTTTTATACTTGAGATTATCTGTATTAAATTACACTGATTCCAAAATTTGAAATTTATTGTTGTTGTTATTCTGTAAAGATGCAAATATAAGATTTCATTTATACAATTTCTTTTCTGGAAGGAGAGATTTTTGATAAGGACATATCAAAATTATTATTCATTAAATGAAACCTATGGTATATATATATAAAAAAAAAGAAAGGATCAAACAGGAAAAGCTTGCATGACTTTGCACATGAACGAAACATAAATTTGTTTACTTGACATCATTAAGACATTTATGTCTTTCAACTATTGCACTATAGTTAGGGTTGTAATATGATATATTACAAATATTTATGTACAGGTGTAATATAATAAAAATAGTTTGGAACGAAGAAAGTAGTTATAGTCTGTGCACTAAGTGTTGGATGTATATACACAATGTAGTACAAATAGTACAATATACATTAGGGATTACCATCAACTAAACTAATTTATTTGGAAGAAGTATCATATACTATAGATTTAAAGATGAGACATTACAGTGAATATAAGAGAGAACATGTGTGCCTAATATTATCTTTAACATTATGCTGAACTGACAAATAATGTGGATATTTTAAAGTTTAATTATAATATAGAATAATTCACATGAAAGCTCGATTCACGTGAATTTCACGTGAACAAAATTTGCCTGTGTAATGGAACATTAAGCTGCACAACGCTATATTTTGACATATGCGCATAATCTTGGGTTCTTTTCATATGTATGATTTTTATCGAAAATACACGGTTAAAGTAAAGTAGAACCTTCAGAACAGTAAACTAATTTTCCGTGTTGAATTTCAAAGGGTATTTTACACAAATACAAAATTAATTGAGATTATTTAGTGGTAGTTTGCAGAGGGGCAACGATTACAAACAAATTATTGCTGATAATCCTTTTATTAGAAATGGCATATATAAATCAAAGACGAAGTGCTTGACGATAGTATTTAAATGCTGGTTTTGTAAGACTTTTACAATAAAATAGTAAATTTTATTTTCAGGCCATTTCTTAAAGATACAGTTCTTTTTTTAGCCCAATTCTTACAAAAATAAAAAAAGGCAAGGACCTGCACAGTAAATAAAAACCTAAGTGACATTTGAAATTTATAAATGGTCATTTCAGTCTCATGCTTTGTGCATTTGTTATACCAGTTTATTTATGTTTGACCTAATGTTTTTATGTTGATCTTTTAGGCTCCTCTAGTGGTACCGATTCTTGTAATGATTCTCTCTTTATATTTAGTACTCGTTCCTTTAAAATACTTACCGAAGCCAGAATATATTCATGTTTTGATATTTATGGCTGTTGGACTATGGTTGTACTTTCTGTTAGTTTACAAGGAAGTAAAGATTCCATTTGTGGGTAAGTTATGTTAAAATATATCATTGCAATAAATTACTAGATACCCTTTCAATAAATGTATATCAGTTATGCTTCGCCAGTATTTGATATCGTACTTGTCTAACGTCTAAGCGTTTTGTTTTACAAGAAAATGGATAGGTTTCCACTTTGCCAGTTATAGAGATAGGACCAAAATATGCTTAATGTTACAAATGAAGTAAATCTTTGAATAAAGGAAACAACAAGTTTGGTTTGTTTTATTTGCAGGCTTAGCAACTGAAGTTATGCAGAAACTTCTTTTAATTGTCCCTCCGTCCGGGAAGGAAGAATAGGAATACAGATTATTCAGCAATAAAAAATCAAGTGCAAATCTGTTACAAAATGTGATCTACAGGAAGTCCATATGTTAAATGGTTTTATTGGACAACTACTGTTGCGTATAATGATTACAGCTCGCATCTTGCATGAACATAATAACATTGAATATCTCTTTTCATTCATAAACTTTCATATGTTATACCATAATGAACATTGCATTTATTTTTCTCGACGGCATTATCTGTTAACTAAAAATATTATGTGATTTTAACCAAAAGGTATATGACATATTTTGTTATGCTTTGTCACAATAATGTTTACATGGTCCTAAAATAAAAGATATATGTCACCGAGTATTCACGCGACAATTTGTGCAAAACTATCATGTAAGGATTCGCATGAAGAAGCTCCACTAGTAACTAATAAGAATTTTGAACTGAAATAGTAAGCTATAGCTCCTATAAAATGCTTTCAAAATATAAACAAATGGTATCACCGTATTGGATTTCTTGATTTTTTTTTACAGTACCCTTACTTGCATGAGATAGATAATATTAAATCAATTAAAAAAACATAGCTAAAACCTTAAGTGATCTAAACGTAAGACCTCTAAATGTTTTAGATTTTTCTCTGTGGTTGTCATGCTATCTCTTTGACACCACACGCACACATACATATGTATAGAAGACAATATAAATATATATACCATTTATCTTCCTTTTTCATATGTGAATGTATCTAACCGTCTACTTAGTAAGTTCTAAATTTGCAGTTGACCTTTATTTTTTACATTAAAAAGAAAGAGGCAGTAACCATGATAGCGCCGTCAAATAAAACCGATTATTTCACATGTAAAAGAAATCCTGTAATATCACCCAACTGACGTCATACAAAAACTAGATGTTGCCAAGACGTTGCCAATGACGTTAATTCAAAACCAAATAGTAATAACGCTAAAGGAAAGATGTTTTTTTTCACATTTTCTGTTACATTCACGTTAAAAGTCAATGTAATAAAAATAATAACTAATCCAAGAATTCAAATATCCAAACATATTTAACTCGATATCGGACAAGAGTAATAACCAGCCGATTAGCCAATGTGTTGTTTGGTTATTAGTTGAATATTTTTAGACAATTGAATTATTCATTGGATTAATTATCTACCAAATAATAATTGCTCTTCGTTGATATAATAATTTTTATAGGAATACATTTAAGTCATCAATATTTTGAAGGCTTAAGTGCACTATTGAGCATGATGTTGTATGTTTTATTATTGCATTTTATGATTTTGTTTTTGTTATATCATTCTTATCGTTAAAGTTTTTTGTCATTTAATATAACCATTTGCGAATCATCTTTATGTATTTTTATGATAATAAAGTTATTTGATTTTGTTATAAGATGATTTTTTCACTCTTTTCATTCTTTGAAATATTTAGTTTATCAAATCCTAAGGCCGCTCTAGTTATTCGGACTCCTCCTGACTCCATAAAAGAGGAGTCTAACGGATTTTTTCCTAGCGAGCTACAATATTTTTAAACTTATGTTTTTCAAATATAAGTGAAAGCTATTGTCTTCTAACGAACGACATGTTTTTCAAGAATAAAAAGGACCCTTAACAACAAAGTATTACACAATTACTGAACTCAAAGGGAAAATGTAAAATTACAAAAATACCAAACTCCAAGGAAAATTCAAAACGGAAAGTCCCTTATCAAATGGCAAAATCAAAAGCTCAAAAACATCAAACGAATGGAAACAACCGTCAAATTCATGAATTGGTACAGACATTTCCTTATATAGAAAATTCAAGCGAGCAATCAAAAGTCTGTGTTCTTATATCACTTATATCTTATTTTTAAGATTAATCCATTAATCTTTTGCGTTAGTTCCCTTTCATACGATCCTTTCACCAATAGTTCAACCTCAATTAAATATGCTTACCATGCAGTGCTTAAAAAAGACTATAAACTTATTTACAAGAACGTAGCAGCGACTACATAATGGTTTAAATCAAGTTAAATGAAGAGAGCCAAACATCAAATCATCATGGTGAGGATGAAATCTTCCAATACATAAATGAATTGCAACCTTTGTGAACAGTCAACCATTCTCATACATATGATGTATACAACCGGTTTTTTAAGGAAAAATATACATAAGCGATAAAATATAATTAAAATTAAGGTCAAACTCGCATTCAAAAGTGACCTTTATATACAGACAATAAAACAAATTGAACATAGATAAAGTACGGTTCTTCTATATAAAAAACAACTTGAGGAACCAAACGATTATTACTAATAAGGGTTGCTACTTACAAGAAAGCTATTAAAAAATTATTTTTGACCTTATTGTAATTTCTGTGTCTCAGATGACGATGGATATGTCCAACTAGATGTAGAAACAATCACATATTCTTTTATTGTTTGTGTTATTAACGAATGCAAATTATAACAGTATTTTATTTGTCATGAGCAACTAGATGGGTGCCACTAAATAAAGGCAACAGTAGTATACCGCTGTTCGAAACTCATAAATCGATAGAGATAAAAACAAATCCGGGTTACAAACTAAAACTGAGGGAAACGCATCAAATATAAGAGGAGAACAACGACACAACAAAAACACAACATTTAAATGTAACACACACAGAAACGAACTATAATATAACAATGGCCATTTTCCTGACTTGGTACAGGACATTTTAAGAAAAAAATGGTGGGTTGAACCTGGTTTTGTGGCATGCCAAACCTCCCGCTTTTATGGCAACGTCAAACACAACACCAAAACGACAACAACACATGACAGGACCACAATACAAATAAATGGGAGAACATATAGGACAAAGAAACACACGAATGATAGCTAACAAAAGGTACTAGGCTTAAAATTCAATACGCCAGACGTGCGTCTCGTCCACACAAGACCAACCAGTGACGCTCAGATGAAAAAAGTTTGAAAGCCAAAACAAGTACAAAGCTGAAGAGCACCGAGGACCAAAACCTAAAAAAAGTTGCGCCTAACACGGCCAGGGTTTTTTGCCTGGGACAAGAACATCCTTATTATTTAGAATAATTTATAATTTTGCAAACAGTAAATTTTATAAAATGACTATATAATAGATATACATGATAAAACCGAAGTGGGGACTAACTATAGAATAAAAACGGATACATTACATAAAACAACTTAATCCAACACATAATAATACAAAGCCGAGTAAGCTAACTAAGTTTATCCTTCCAGAACTCCTGAGTTTACCCCGATTATTGTTGAGGTTATTGTTTGGTTTTCTGTGTAGAGCTTTTTGAACAATTGCTTATCTTTGATAGGATTATGGTTGTGTATGTCCTTCTTTGTTTGACCTTTGTTTTTTGTAACCCCTATGTAATCTTTTCCCTCTGTTTTGTAACGTACTAGAAACCCGTCTCCATATGAGTATTTGCAAAGCACTTCAAGTAGTCATGGACCGTACGGTTACATATAGTTGCTTAAATCCACGTCGTTTTGTTGTTTATCAATGGGAGTCATACCACATCTCCATATGTTATATAACGTAACAGTAAAGTTTCGAATAGCAATCAAAATGTCATTGGATATGTTTCATTTATTTTGAATTTATGTCTTTAATATTCAATCACTCCATAATCCTTCTTGTCCAATTCCCGAATTTATCAAATACACATTTTGTATATTAATTTTCCTTAATATTCCTTTAGTTAGGGCTATATGGGTTTGTAATGCAAATGTTCCTTTCCATGATGATAAATCATTAAATTCGCAAACTTGCTTCAAGGGTCGACAACTGATTTCATGGTGCCTTCCTTGTGTACCATGTATGTTATAATGAAACAGTCCTTGGATATTGACAGTACTACAATAAATAAGAAACGGATAGCTGATCATAATAATGTAAACAACACATGTTGAAATTGACATGAAATATATGTTGATAAAATAATTATTGAACACATTTTTAATCTCCAGATTATGGAGCATGAAAATACGAATTAGATAAATCCAGTTCTAAAATTATTTGCTATATTCAATATTTTACTGCAAACACATTTGAAAGAACTTTCAAATAAGTCAATAATAATGGTCCAAGATAAATGGAGTTTATTTGTCTATTTTTATATTATTTCTTATCGAGATTCTAAGTAGTCTTTGTCCATATTTTCGTCCCTGTGACAGATTACTTAACAGACTCTTGTCCGAAAATTTCCATCACCAAGCACAATTCTCTTGTACATGTTAATTTTATTGTTGAAACTTTCTACATATGATGCATAAAGAACCAAATCTTCTTCACGATTGAATCTTGCAAAATTCTTGGATCACGCCTAAAAGTTCTGCAATAGATTTACCTTTTATAATAACAAATGCTGCTTGAATTTTGAATCTGGAAGAAATTTAGTTTTTTTTGTGTGTAATATTTCACAACGGTAAGCAAAATTTCCTTAAGCTCTAAAATTGCATATTGCCCGGTAGTTGTTGGTTGGTTGCAGATTCTACCTTGTCCTCAATCTGATCTTATCACGTTTAAGTGTTTAGTGTTTGGTCGAGAAGATGACACAGCGTTGATTACATGTCAGGAATCATTTTTGTTTACTTCATCAAATCACGTACAGACTTGTTTATACTCATCCTCCTGTCATGTGAATAAGTTCCAACTTTGACATCCTTCTCCTGTAAGAACTGGTATATACCTATGATTTCAAAGTTGTTGCGTCTGTTTGAACATATTTTTGATACTTGTAAAGTCTTAACACTAGCCTACTTCTTCCATCAATGCTGTCGTATTGCCGTGATTGTACTCCTCCATTTTTCCTTTTCTTACTGTCATCTCCAAGTATAGAAATTTTGAAACAGAGAGGTCTTTTAGATTTTTTTCCCATCATTTAGGTATTGACAACTTGCAAAAGCTGGATATACGTATACGTTATTAATACAATCGAGACATCACAAAATATGTTATTTTGTTCATGGTAAAGAAAAAACATAAGCTGAAAACGCATGGTTCACTGTGAAATTGATACTTTTATACCTACAGAGATTTTATGGATTTTTTCATACAATGAGTAGGGTAATACTATTTATTCCAATATTGATTGGAAAGTAGATTATCAGTTCATAAGTGCATGTAAAAGGTAACCAATTCAACACTGCAATTAGATCTTTGAATGTTGTTTTAACGGTATAAATATTGATTTATTTATTAGTAAATCAAAATCCAATTAAATATTATTGTAAGAGTTTTTTTCTGAATGTTAATGACGTCTTTTTTTAGATCCATTCGATGTTGGATGTGAACTGATTGATATTTTAGTCTTAGACACATAATTTTGTATTATTTGTTATTGAATTTGTATAAGCTTTCAGTAACTGCGAGTACTTTCAGATCTGTACTTTATGTCTCTTGTGTTTTTGTTAGATTTTTATGTGCTTTGTATCAATCTAATGAGCCCTTTTCAACTGATTTTTATACTAGTAGTTCTTATGTTGTACTGTTACACCACTGTAATAGGTAAGGGGTAGGGTTTGGCGTCAACAAACATGTTTAACCCCGCCACATCCTGTATGTGCCTGTCCCGAGTCAGGAGCCTGTAATTCAGTGGTTGTCGTTTGCTGCTGTTTATCACGTTCGTTTTTCGTTTATTGTTTTGTACATAAACATGATAAATCAGGACGTTAGTTTTCTTTTTTGAAATGTTTTACATTTGTCGTTTCGGAGCCTTTTATAGCTTCCTATCCAGTGTGAGTTTTGCTCATTGATTAAGGCCGTTTGGTGACCTATAGGTGTTATCTTTTATGTCATATGGTCTCTTGTGGATAGTTGACCCATTGACAATCATACCACATCAATTTTTTTTACATGAAGTATAATCTAGACATGACTTTATTCACATGTTGCACTACTTCCTGAGTAAATAAAAACATAAAACTGGTGCCATGGGTATCTCTTTCCCATCTGTCAATCAAAAGAAATGGAATTTTAAAATTCTTGCATTTGAAATGTTTTAATTATTAATTGGATTTTAAAAAACTGTTTCGCTATTTTCAAACTCAGGGGGAGTAAGAGCTTTACATATTGCATGGGCGACTGTTTTTATAGATACGCTGTTAGATATTGTTTGTTTTGTGTCGTTGTTTTACTTCCCATAGATGTTTATAGAACATCTGTATTAATTTATTTTAGTTCATCAAAATTGCAAATAAAGGAATCGCATGAAAAATAATTGTAATCTTTTTGTATCTATGATTTTGAAAATTATCTAGCCTTGGTTTTAAGAAAAGAAATTAAATCCTTCATGCCTATCAATACTCGTATGCCTGTAACTATTATTTTAAATGCAATATAATTAAATTATATCACATAGCAAATGTAGTAGATAATTTTACATTGTTGACCCATTTCTCGTATTACTGTTCTATAAATAACTTTGAATAATCGTTTAAGTAAATATCAAGCATAACCAGGAAGATTTAATAGCAAATATTTAATACCAATTTTGAAAGCATGTTATTTTACAGATTGATTTTATGTGGAATGATATTAATGAATAAGAATACATTATGTAAGTAAAAAAATTTCCTAGATACTTTTGAGCTTTTTTAAAATTGTTCAAACATATTAAACGTATGATACGTAATCATTCTCACAATTGTTAAAGGTATGTGTCTACTGGTACATGTTCCTGTGCGACTTGTGCGACAAGTTTTTCCTAAACAAATATGACAAAATCATAATGAGGTCATAATTATCTCTATGATAACCAAGACCTTTTAAACGATAAACGAATTTGTCTGAGTTAATCGCTTTAGGGAGATTATGTCCATCCCCTTAAATCATACATTGTTAGAAATATTAAAAGCAGTTCAGGTTACCCAACCCGACTGTTCTGACCGACATTTTGAAGAACTACCTTTATCTTTTTCATATAATAAGATTACAGAAAAAAATCTTAAACAAGTATTTCCTAAATAAAAAAAAAAAAACACGATGGAAAAGTTTGTTTTGATTCAGGAAAGAGAACAGAACACAGAAACGAAAAAGAATATGAAATACTGACTAACACTGTATTTTGTAAGGAACATCTGCCGTCATCAATGATCATTAAGAGATAGCAAGTCATCATTCTTTTCAGGAGATTTTTTTGTAACTGATAGTAAGCCTTTTCCTATAATGAAATAGATAAATATATGCATGCTATGTATAATGAAATTGTCGGAGGTGAGATTATAAGAAATGTTGCTTTTCAACTTCACAACATCTATGTGTGTTTCGGCAATAAAGTTAACCGGCAGCTTTTAGGTATTTCTATAGGAGCTAATTTTAACACCTTTAATAGCCGATTTGTCAACTATTGCTATGAATAACAGTATATTTCCAGACGCAATTACAATCTGTCCTACTGACATTTATTAGACAAGTTATTAACACGTACCTTGACCTTGATGCTATGTTTAAACTAGATGGACTGTTTTAAGAGACTAAAACTACTGTCTTCCTTTTATCCGGAGATATCACTCCAGTACAAAAAAGGCACAAAAATCACATGATATTGGAGGAAACCCTATACTGTAAAAATACGCCTGTCGTAAGGTCTGTCTGATTCCTTGGCTATGTTTTTTGTGTTTTTGGTTAATCAGCTCTTTAATTTTTGAATAAGTTTTGGATATTCAATTATTTTGGTATTGAGTATTATTGTCGAAATGCCGAAAAGGAAGTGACATGACAAATAGGCATATACATATATGGTTAAAAGTTGGGTAACCTGAACTGCTTTTAATATTTCTAACAATGTATGATTTAAGGGGATGGACATAATCTCCCTAAAGCGATTAACTCAGACAAATTCGTTTATCGTTTAAAAGGTCTTGGTTATCATAGAGATAATTATGACCTCATTATGATTTTGTCATATTTGTTTAGGAAAAACTTGTTGCTACTTTAATACTACTGTTTCCTGTTGAGTATGTTTAATCTGTCTGATGTATATGTGCGTCAGTTTTTACTTCCTGTTATTCGTGCTATAGTCTCCTTTCCCTTTCCTCTGGCAGCATACTACGAAGGTTCACATTTGCAGTTCTCAAACATCGTAAATTTCTGTCAACTATTATCAGAGGTACATGCATTTTACCGTATACATCACTTGCCTAGCATGGACAAATGTCTTCACATGACGGAGTCTTTAAAAAGCACACATACTTTTTTTTAGCTTAACCTTAATATATATACATAACATCATAAGGATTAGAAAAAATTATTGAACAAACCAAACCAACCACGAAATCCGAATACTCTGAAAAGTTCAATGTACAAACTTGAATATAAAATAACATATGGTCCCGATATCCTGACTTAAAATAAGCAGTTTTCAAACCACACAAACACCCCTACTTTATATATATAGGCCATAGGTCGTAAAAGTGAAAAACTGTACAGTCAATTTACCAACATGATGACCACTATCTTGTAACAAGGGAACAGAATATGGTTTTAATTTGGTAAGCCTTGTCAAAATGTCCTAACTACTACCTCAGGTAGCTAAGGTAGCCCAACAGTTACTGACGCCGAAGAAAACAAAAAAGCAGAAACAACGCATCTTGTATGCAATTATATTGAAAATTAATTGAGAAAGAACTGAGAATATATTAAATCGGCAGACTTTATAAGGTAAGAACCTTTTTTATCAATTGATACCCGTGAAAAACGAAAAGGAATTTAATAAATTTACTGAAGCCAAAGAAAACAAAAAAGCAGAAACAACGCATCTTGTATGTTTCATACGAAAAACGATGATGCAAAACAAGTTGGAATGAGAGATACCACCTTTTATAAGCTTTTTCTAGAAAAATAAATTTTACAGATAAAATGTTGATAACTGTTGTATATTAATATATCCTCCAGAACCAGAAGTTAAAGAAACAACAGACACGGCTTCCTCTTTGTAGACTTATACATTTAATTTGACATAAGCGGTTATCTCAGTACCAGAATTTATGACAAACGAGACGATTTCAATTTTGAAATTATCAATTTCCCCCACCTTAGTAGCAATATACCAACTCCACCTGCATATGGGATAAACATTTCCCAAACTCATTCGGTATTCAAGAGCTTGTAGCTGCTACCCAGACTTAATAAATCGTCACCAGTGTCTGCGCAAAAAGTAGATGAACCAGGGTTATGTCAAAGAACGATTCGTCCTTTTTCTAAAATAAAATTATTAACTTTACTGTTAAGTCCATTTTTGGTAATATCCTTTTGGATTAGCTCGGTACTTATGCATACCGCCAATGTGTTGTTGTGCTGTGGTCATTTTTGTATTCTTGTCTTTCATTTTTTGCTTATGTGCTATGTTCATATGTCATTTTGTTTTACTTTGTTGACATATTTGTTTGTTTTTATAGGGATTAAGATTATAACACATTGTTGACTGCTGCACCACTATTTTTGACATTTTTACCTATAATGCAGTGGGAAATCCAGTGACAAAATATTACCTCCCCTGTAAATATTGAAAACTAGACCTTCTCAATGTTCTCAATTAAATCAATAAATTTGACAGCAATACACCAAACGACCAAACAACCTGGCATTCTTTAAGATCAATATACAATTGAGATAGCTGTAATGTTTGATGGAAATCTAAGTTGATTTGAAAAAAATATAAAAAATTAAAGGTGACTATCTGAATTAAGTCGGAACTGAAAATTCTAGCTTTTTTTACCTATTAATTAAATCCTTAAATTTGACAGAAATACACCAAACTATAAAACAACCTGGCATTCTGTAAGATCAATATATAACTGATATAGCTGTCTGGCATGGGGTAATGCTAATTTGTACTTGTAATGCCCTGTAATGCATTACATTTCCCGAAGTAATGAATGTAATGTGTAATGCCAAAATTTTTGCATAACATGTAATTGTAATGTTATGCATTACATTGGCAAACATGCAGTAATTTTATGCATTACATGACATTATATAGCATTTCTTCTTATCTGATAGTGCTATTTATTGCTACAAAGTTCAGGGATAATAAGTACTACTGTTTTATTCTTTCTTTTAAGAAAATAGGAAAATTAAACACAAATCAATGTCTAGTTAATGGATTAACAAAACGTGTTGAACTGTTGTAAAACTAATGATTTTCTTCATCTTACCTTAATACTAAAACATTTATACTAATAATTAAAAGAGATCTATTTTATAAACATAAAAAAGTAAAATTGTTTTTTATTTGCAGTCATTTTCATATACCATTATAGTCATTGAAAAACCAATACATGATATTTAAACATGAAAGAAATAAGTTGAATGATTGATATTTGACACCTGACAAAAACCACTAATTAGTTTGTATAGCTATCAATTCCTTTCTTTTGACAAGTGAATTTGTGATTTTAAAGTAATTAATTAACATTGAGATTAAGTTAACAATATAATAACAAAAAACATAATGGTAGAATAAATTCCTTACAACATTTTCGTTATTTCTTTTTTGAGAAAACACAGAGATGTATCCTTCAAAATATAAAAGCCTGACCCAGAAGAACAATCAACCTTGGCAAACTTTGTAAATCCATCTGGTATTCAGAAATATCAATTAAATGACCCAAAGCAAAACGAAGCTATAGATTCACTTTTCGAGTAAATTGCTAGGAGTGATTTACTCCCATTTTCAACAGTTGAAAGTCAAAAGTTTAAGAAATTTATAGAAAATCTTAACCCAAACTGTTATTTGGTCTATAGGGCAATGAAAAGATTTTTATAATATCTATTTAATAGTTACAAAGATGCAGTATAAAATGTTTTATATGTATGTTTCTTCTGATAATAAAATTTATAAAATGTAATGTGTAATATAATGCATTACTTTGGTAACGTAATTGTAATTTCATGCTTTACTTTCCAAAATACATGGAATTGTAAAAAAATGCTGCTTTTGTCCAAGTAATTGTAATGCAATGCATTACATTGCAATGTAATTTGCCCCATGCCTGATAGCTGTATAGTTTTATGAAAAAAAATTTAAAGATGACTATCTGAATTCAGTCCAAATTGAAAATTCTAGCTTTTTTCACCTATTAATTAAATCCTTAAATTTGACAGCAATAAACAAACTACCAAACAACCTGGCAATCTTTAAGCTCAATGTATAATTGAGATAGCTGTAGAGTTTTATAAAAATCCAAGTTGATTTGAAAAAGTTATTGAAATAATTAAATTTAATCAAAACTGAAAATTCTAGCTTTTTTTTATACCTATTAATTAAATCCTTTAATTTGACAGCAATGAACCAAACTACCAAATAACCTGGAATTTTGTAAGATCAATATACAATTGAGGTAGATGGGCTGATTCAGACCAGTCTTGACTAAATTTAAAGGTCAAGATTGGTCGAGACAGGTCGAGACTAGTCGAGACTGAGTCAAGACTGGTTGAGACAGTTCGAGACTGAGTCGAGACTGGTCGAGCATTTGTCGAGTCCATTTCAGACTATACCAAGATTATCAAGAACTGAATCAGACTTATTAAGTAAAGTCGAGACCAAAGTCCAGTACA